ACCGCTCACAGCGTGCTGCTTTCGTCGCGCTGTGATGATGTCACGTACGCGCTTTCGTCGAGCGCGCTTTAGTCTACCGCGGTTTTGTGGGAGGTCATATTTATATGCATCACAGATCTAATGCTGTTATGAAAATTATTTAGTTTTATATGGCTTGTAAATCTGTTTTCTATTTTCCTCTTCTCTTCTGTGTTTTCATTTCTTTTTTATTCTTTTGACTTGGTTCCCCTTTCAAATATTTGTTAAAATCAAGCAAAAAGAACATTAAAATGTTTATGTTCTGTTTTTTTGTTTTACCTGGGGTGGTGATGGTAATATGTCGTCATATACATCCTTTATTGGATTGTAATAATCTAAAACTTGAGAACCCATGTTATAATACTCACACACTATTAAATAATTCTGTATATTAAATTGGTGGCAAATTTGAAGATTATTCACAAATGGCCAGAAGTGTTTCAGAAATTATTTCTGAAATGAGTATTTACTAAAGAATAACTTACTCTTGATTTTGGCCGCTGGAGAAGTGATTGAGATTAGAGTAGGCTTGCAGAATAATTATAACATCTTTGAAGTTCAAGGATTCTGGATGAAGCATCACTTCCTCAAGAAATTTATCCATCAGTTCAACTGGATGAACACCAAGCCTTTCAAAAGCTGAAAGTAACAGAATGACCTGAAATCAAAAAGAGAAGTTAAAGTAACACACATATATTGAGACACCTTCATTAAGAGATTTAAAAAAAAAAAAAAAGTCTAAAATGTTGTTGGGCCTGAGAATATGCATCCGAAAAGAGAAGCAAATTCCTTTTTGCTTTCCTGCAGCTACGATCCCTTTTCTATTCTAAACTTCTTGGACAAATTTCTGCCCCTCTGTGAAATAATTTGAAATGAATTTGCTGTAATAAGTTAAACCAAAGTTTCATAGCCTGGTTGCATTATCCAAAGCCCAACTGTTAACTTTTAAAAGCTTTTCCGAATTGTAATTTTTCATAATACAGAAGGAAATTATGATATGCATCAGAGTAACCATTATTACCTATCATTGTTAGTTTACTTTAAATTGAATTCCAACTTAAAGAAAAATGGCTGGGTAGAGAATGTGACAGAATAGTGTCTACAATTTGCTGTTTAGAATATACAGTACCAATCCAATGTCTCTTACCCTCCACCCTTTTCAACTGACTTCCAGCCTCACAGGAAGCTCGGTTGTAACATGGGAGAGAATTGTTTTGGGGAGTAATAAATTAAACAGTCTAAATTTCTCTTCAACGAAGCGCTCTTCATGGGGCTGCCCTTGAAGAGTGTTCGAAGACTACAGTTGGTCCAGAATGCAGCTGTGCGAGCGATACTGGGTGTACCTAGATACACCCATGTTACCCCCACCCTCCGCGAGCTGCACTGGCTGCCAATTGGTCTCCGGACGCGCTTCAAGGTGCTAGTCGTTACTTTTAAAGCCCTACATGGTTTAGGGCCTGGCACCCCGAAAGACCGCCTTCTGCCACATACCTCCCAATGACCAATAAGATCTCACAGGTTGGGCCTCCTCCGGGTGCCGGCGGCCGGACAATGCCGGCCGGCGGCCCCTCGAGGGAGGGCCTTCTCTGTAGCTGCGCCGGCCCTGTGGAACGATCTACCCGTAGAGATCCGGACCCTCACCACTCTCC